GTTGATGTTATAGGCATATGCCACCATACCCTGTGGTAAATAGGCTACTTTAAAAACAGTAAAAATCTTTTTTTTTTCATTTGAAATTTGGTATTGTGTCCCAATATATAAAATAGAGACTTTAGTCAATCTTTTCCCCCTCCTCCTCCTCCTCCCCCTCCCTGAAACAGGGTTTCTCTGTGTAGCTTTGGAGCCTATCCTGGCACTTGCTCTATAGACCAGGCTAGCCTTGAACTCACAGAGGTCAGCCTGCCTGGGATTAAGAGGTGTGTGCCAGCACCACTTGGTGCTAGACACCTGGTTTTTTGGGTTTTTTGTTTGTTTGTTTTGTTTTAATCTTTTTTTAAGATTTTATTTATTTAATATGTTTACAACATTTTGCTGCCATGTATATCTGCACACCAGAAGAGGGCACCAGATCTCATAACAGATGGTTGTGAGCCACCATGTGGTTGCTGGGAATTGAACTCAGGACCTCTGGAAGAGCAGTCGGTGCTCTTAACCTCTGAGCTATCTCTCCAGCCTGACACCTGGTTTTAATAATAGTTCTGTCTCTAGTTGCTGTTGGACTGATAGTTTTAAAAAATTGCTTGTTTTCTTTGATCCTTAGTATTATCTAGTGGCGATTTGAATGTAGACTAATGGAATCTAGTATTTGGCTCACAATGTGTCTGGAATGTCATTTTAGTAGGCTTATTCTAATTTCAGACTGAAACAAAAGATATTCTGCCTAAGGGTTTTAGATTTTGGCTTTTTGGTGGTGGTGGTGATGGTCAGTCAGTTCCCAAATAACCAAAAAGTTGAACTTTTCCTGGTTCTGCTGAATACAGAGATCGCAGTTTCCCAGGCTTGCATAGTTGCCTGGTAAGTGTTTTGGTCATGGATGAATTGGAAAAATGTCTCTTTTGTCTGTCTAGTAACAATTCATGTATTGTCTATTGCTAGATACTACCTTTCGTTTGATTGTCTTCTTGACCTAAGTTAATAAAACACTGTTAGCACGTAATTTGGCCACAAGGCACTACCTACAACAGATTTTTCTCTAGCATTGTCTAGAAAATGCTTTCATCTGGTTAGATTATAAAGTATTAGCAAAAAGCTATTTTAATATCATGGAATGGATTAATAATTATTGAATATTCTACCTTTTATAGTTTAATTCTCAGCAAACCAGGAAAATGTTGATTAGAAGCCATTTGGAAAAAAAAACATGCAAAAGCTTTATGTGGGTTTTTTTTTTCTTTTTTTTACTTGTGTTATGCATGATTTTGGAGCCTATATAGTCCCAGTAAAAAGAATATCTCAGCCTCTATTTATTTTAAATTCCTCAATGTTTGCATTATCAACACATTTAACTTTGTACAAAATACTCATTTTTATATAAGGAAAAAAATCAGTATATTTGTGTGCTCACACACACACCCCACACACACCATGGTGCAAATATAGCAGTCAGAGGTCAACTTGCCGAAGTTGGTTCTTTGTTTCCACCATGTGGATTCCAAAGGTTGACCTTGGGTGAGTCAGGGGGAAATGCATCAAGTCAGGATTTAAAATCTCTGCTTTTTATCTCTGCGCCTTAGCAATAGAAAGAAATAACAGTGGCTAGTGATAGTGTAATTTAATTTTTTTCTAGACTTACTTGTCTATGAGTCTCTGGCAATCACTAATTCTTGGTTGCAGACTTATCTGTATAATGAGAGTTAAGCCAGACCTCTTAAATACTAACTTTTAGCCAAGTATCAAATATAAAGTGAGTATGGGAAGGGTATTTTTTACACATAGTACATACACAGAGAACTGCAGTTTTCAGTGATTAAAGTATTTTTCTATGAAGAGTTTTCCATGTTTGTTTACTGGTTAATAAAAATGATAGCAATCAACCAAAACCTTTGATTTATTGAGCTAAACCCTGCTCTCAGCTGTTTCTCCAACTCCTGATTAGTGACTACTTTGTTGCTCTTTTACATTCATCTTGCAATGACCTAGAAACTAGATTTGCTGTTTCTGAATGATGTTATACTAAAAAAGTTATAGGAGGAAAGGGTAGGGTAGAAAGAGGTCTGTACAAATTGTCTAAATTAATTTAAAAACAAACGCAAACTTGGTGCTTAGAGTAAGTTCAGAGAGGACCTGTAGTGTAGCTTACTACCCATGGAAGAATTTCCTCTAAAACAGCCAACCTACATTAGAAATGGCCAAAATTCACTTAAGAGGTAGAGCCAGGTTAATTAATTTGAGGCCAGCCAGGTCTACATAGCAAGACCCTATTGAAGGAAGGAGAGGAGAGGAGGAAGGAGCCAAAATTAGTAGCATAGCTTCTCAAAATCCTCTCTGTGGGAGCTAGTCACAGTCTGTTTTTATATGTCTCCTCCAGACAACCTGTCCATCTTCCTTCCGTCTCCCAGAGCTTTTGTTCTTCTCTGTTCCAGCCCCTTGTTTCTGGTCCTACTCTTCACTCCTGCACGGGGCTTTATCACATCTTCCTTAGTCTCTTTCTCACAAAGAAAATAAAAACCTACAACATAAGGGAAAAAAAAAAGTTGCTTTTCTTTACTTTTGTTCTCCATGTTTCTATCAAAACATGAGATGCTGTATACAAGTGTCCCACAGCTATTTCAACCCAGCCAGGACCATTACAAAAAACTCCAGCTTTTGGTGACTGTCACCCATTTGAAATCACTCCTTTATCATAATAAAATTGAAAATAAGCCAGACAGTGGTGACTTATGCCTTTTGTCCCAACACTCAAGGCAGAGTCAGGCGGATCTCTTGAGTTCCAAGACAGCCAGGGCTATATAGAGAAACCCTGACTTCAAAGAAAGAAAAACAATAATCAAAGACAAAGGCTATACTATTCAGAAAGTACTGTGTTAGTAGGTTGGTGATTTATAAATATATAATTTGGATTGATTTTCCTTAGTTTCTTCATTGCTCAGCCCCTTTCTGATCTTCATTGACTGAAAGCAGATTCCTATATCACAGTCTCTGCTTCTGCAGAACTGACTGCTCTTTATAACACACTTAGTATTGAATGGGGGGAGGGCATAAGTTGCTTTTCTGGTGCATGGCCACCTGTAGTTTTGGTTTTTTGTTTGTTTGTTTTTGTTTTTTTATCTCAACTGGCTGTGCAGTGTAACATTACCTTTAGTATTCTAACTGAATAGGGTTAGGCTAAACTGAGTTGTGAGAAGTCTGCTGACAAAAATGGCTTAAATCCATCTGCTAGAGAAGGAGATATTGTTGAATTTTATGTTATTTAGAGGTGAATAAGGAAAACTGTCTTTGTTGTGGTTATTTGGCTTTGAGGTTGTTTTTCTTCTTTGGTTTTGGTTTTTTGAGCACAGTGTCTCCTGGCTGGCTTGGAACTTGCTGAGTAGTTCAGACTAGCCCCAGACTCAAAATATCTGCCTGCCTTGCTTCTAGAGTGCCATTACACCAGGCAGTTGTACAAATAACATAATGTTCTTAATTGATAACATAGCTCTGGACTGTCTAACCAACCCAAGCATAGGGCTGGTTATAATCCTTCCTTAGGTCTGATTGTGGTTCATTCGTAGAACACATTCTTAGTGTGCACAGGGTCCTGGCTTTGATGCCTAGCACTAAAAAATAAAATTTGATCTTACAGTATAAATGAGACTTGAGCCATATTGGGAAGGTCAAGAATGTTCTTTCTCTAATAACTGGCTTTAAAACAAGATCTCTTTTGTTCATGTCCCTGGCCTTACACTCTTGATCTGCTTGCCTTCCAGGTGCCAGAGTCTAATTCTGTGTGTCATTATGCTCAGCCTTAAGTAATAGCTCCAGTTAATGTAGTTTTTTGTTGAATTTGTTTTTTAAAAAATTACATAAATGATAGAAAAATTTGTTGATGCTTTAGTACACAATTCCAGAAAATTAAGCTAAATAAATCAGAAGTAAATGTAGTCAGTTCCAACTGCTGACATATAACAGAATTGGCTAAGAAGAAAGTGGATGTGTAACATGGTGGCTTGGTCTAGAGAAAGTGATAGAGGTAGTAGACATGGTCAAATTAAGGGTATCTTTAAATATGAACCATCAGAATGTGTTGTTGGATATGAGAAGACATGTTAAAGGTAACCCAGGCTTTCTGCCTAAACAACTGGCAAAATGGAGTTGCCATTATCTAACAATGCAAAACTTAAATTGGAGAAACGAGATTCTGGTTACAAATAATTCTTTGTACTTAGCCAACCTTTGGAAGGATTGACAAAACTTTATAGTACATTAACATTTGTGCAAGAGACCAAAAGAAAATGTTGCATGTGAGGGACTAGTGAGATGTCTCGGTGATTAAAGGCACTTTCTGCCAAGAGTGAATTTAGTCCTCAGTGCTAATCATTCTTACAGATTGTATTCAGGTTCTAACACCATGTCAATCAGCTCACACCATCTGTCACTGTCTTCAGGGCATCTCACTCCCCCTTCTGGCTTCCATAATCACCTGGATGAAAGGGGCACTAATATGTATATATAATTATATATTATGTATATATAATATGTGTATATATATTAGTGACATCAAACTCACAGAAATCTGCCTGCCTCTGCCTCCCCGAGTGCTGGGATTAAAGGTGTACGCCACCATGCCCAGCCACTCAGTTTCTTTATAGAATGGAAGAAATAATGGTACCTATGTAGGTTTTGGGGAACTGTTTAGTTCATTCATGGAGAATGCTTCAGATAATACCTAGCATATAATTGTTGCTTGTTAAATGTTGGCTATTACTAAAAAGGAAAGTTTGCTTTAAGATGATTGACTATATTGGTGTAGTAAAGTTAAACCATGTTTTTTCTTTTATATGTATAGTATTCCCTTATCATTTTGAACAGAAAATGATTATTATTGATTATTATAAAGTGTTAGATATAGTTTTAATTGTATCATCTCTTATCGAACACCATCTTAATATATATGTGTCATTTAAGTTTTCAAACCACATTCTTGACTTCATATTATAATTTTGTCATTGCAGGCAAGAAGACAACAAGACCCTAGTCCTGGTTCCAATTTAGGTGGTGGTGATGATCTCAAGCTTCGTTAATACGAGCACAGCACATGTGCCATCCATCTCTACATATACACTGCTTCTAATTGGTATACATAACTCATTGTGCGACCAGAAACTGTGATAACTGGAGGTACTACAGTATATTTCATGACCTGAGGCAGTAAAAGACATCATCAGCTGCCATGGTTTTGCACTATAATTAATACCTGCATTTCTGATTTTTAAAACATGTAGCCAGTAATAATTTGAGATTTTTTTTTCTATGCAAGCTTATCTTGTTGGCATTATTTTAGTTGATGAAAGTATCTACTTTCTCCATTTTAATTTAAAAGTTCATGTCATTTAAAAACAAGATAAGAAACTGAAATTTGTATCAGGGTTTTCTTCAGCAGTTGCTTAAAATTATTTTGTACTTTCAGACGAGTTGGTTATATAGCTTTCCTCCTTGATAAGCGTTCTTTGTGTTTGTTTTCTCCATATCATTTTGTGTTTTTTGTATTCTACATCATTTTACAAATGAAGATGTGTTCACATTTTTACAAGCTAAAAACCTAGCAGCATAGAGCTGTCACAGCCTCCTAAAACAAAAGTTTACAGTTGTTAAAGTCACAGTATCCTTTTAAATACTAATACCCTTTCTTGACCTTTGAAACATAAACATTTTAAATTAGTATCAATTTTTATTTGTCTCAAATCTGTTTCAAGTTATATTCTGTGATCATGAGTTTGGGTAGAGGTATTCTCCATAGGTGATAATGTTCTACAAAAATGCCCAAAGAAGTCACATACTGGCTTCTGTTTTATTCAGGGATTATTTTTTAAGTCAATCAGAAAAAGGGATACTGGAACTTCTTATATGTAACAGCATATTAAACTGGAGGCAGTGATGAATCAGCTACAAAGGTAAATTGTATTAAAATCATGTTTTAAGATAGCTGCTTTCCTGTGTATTTTGTATTGCATGCTTTTGTAGGAACAATATTGGGTGATGAAGATTAGTCTTAGAAAATGTTCATCTGTGCAGAAGATACATTTTCTTCCATTAATTCTGGGCAAAACATTCACAGTTATATATGATGGTATTTTGCAAAAGGACTATTAATAATGCATTTTGAGATGAATCAGTGTAACAATATTTTTAAAATAGGCTTAATGTCAAATTGCAATTTTTTTAAATGTAAAACTGGAAAAAAGTGCTAAGTCATTTGGCACATGCTTACTTTTCTTGGTCATATTCATTAAATGTTAACTACATTTCTGAATTTTTGCAAAAATGTATTTTATCATAAAATGGCATTATTTTAGAGAATTTTAAAAACTGACATGGTCAATTCAGAAAAATCTGAATAAGGTCATTGCATTTAAAAAACATATAAAGATACTTGATTGTGCAGGTGTGTCTTTCATTGTATATAAGTCTTATAATTCATAAACAAATATCCTGTATCTCAAAATAAAAATATTTGTTATATATTTGAAGTCGTGCATGGTAAAAGATTGTGTTTGAATTATTATAAACAATAATGTGTTACAAAAGATCATGCTGGCTTTGTATAACTGAGTACTATGAATGAATTTGGTTAGTATTTGGTGATGTACAGCTCACATGTTTACACTCTCAGTGCCCTAATTCCTCTGGGGGAATTACCTTTTAAAAGTGATCCTTACAGGGGTGTTTTAAGGTTACTTTAATCACAGAGCTCCTTTGTTTTGACCTCTGCACTTAATTTTATTTTTTAAAAACCATGTTGGTGGTACATTTTGTCTGGTTCTAGCCAAGAGCTTTCAGTCCACCAGTGAATAAGATCACATGGTATTAAATTTTGTTGTTGCCATCATTCTGTAAATAGTGATTTTTTTTTTTATTAGCCTTGCACTGCTTCTGTCTGTCTTAATGCTGGCATTAAGATTATAAACCCCTTTTCTCCGGTAGTGTAGGCTTTGAAAACTAAGTTATTGGTGCAATTTCATATTTTTTTCATAATCTATATTTAAAATTACATCATTGCATCATCTTTTCTAAATTCATCTCCATTAAAACTTGCCTTAAGCTACCAGGTTGCTTTTACCATTAGCTTTACTGTATATTTGTATGTTTAATTTAGTTTCACATTAAAATTCTGTGTAGTGAAAACAAGGTCTTGGCTCTTTATTGATTTAATGTGATCATTTCTATCCTATAAACTACAATTCTTTGATCCATTTTACATTTTTTAAGGAACACAACAACAGTGCCATCTAGTGGTCATATCTCCTAGTTCCAAAGAGACCACCTTTCAAATCACAGTGTACATTAATTTCCCAGTGTGTGGTGTGGCTTCCAAAAAGTCTAATGGAAGTTGAGTGTGGAGTGGCAAGTGGAAACAGGAAGATCAGAGGTTCAGGGTCATTCTTGGCTACTACAGAGTTCAAGGCCTGGACTGTATGGTCTCAATAAACCAAAATTGGCTGGAGAGAGAATTCCGTTACTACTTTTTTGTAGGGACCAGGAGTTTGATTCCTAGCACTCAGAGTAGTCAGCTCACAATCATCTCACCAGCAGGGATCTAGTACCCTTTTCTGGCCTCTCTGAACTCGGTATACATGTGCATGAGCAAGTACAGATAGATACATAAATTATTATTTAAGATAATGGCCGGCCGTTGGTGGCACACGCCTTTAATCCCAGCACTCGGGAGGCAGAGGCAGGCGGATATCTGTGAGTTCGAGGCCAGCCTGGTCTCCAGAGCGAGTGCCAGGACAGCCTCCAAAGCCACAGAGAAACCCTATCTCGAAAAACCAAAAAAATAAAAAATAAAAATAAATAATTATTATTTAAAATAAAAAGCACTTTTTTTTTAAGTGGGGGGCTGGAAAGATGGTTCAGTGGTTAAGGGTACTGGCTACTCTTCTGGACTGGGTTCAGTTCCCAGCACCTACATAGTAACTCTCTATCACTCCAGTTCTAGGGAATCTAATGCCCTCATGTGGCCTCCTTAGACACTAGTGGCACACAGACATACATTTAGACAAAACACCCATACATATAAAATAAATGAGGATCACCATGGATTTATACATAAGAGTGAGACCAGATCTTGGGACAACCCCCAGCCCCAACAACAAGAAAATTTCATAGATTTATCCATATTCTAAGGTATAACCATAGGACAGTGACCTCTGGTCAAAATAAATAAACATTATACATCCAAATAAGTACCATCTTTCAGGCTAGTTTTAAAAATAATACACATTAGTATAGGAGTATTACATCTAACATTCTTAGAGCAGGTCATGGTATTTATCTAGACCAGAAAATTAAGCTTTTTACTTTAGAAGCATTCTATAAGTTTGATCTGTAATGAATAGATTTATAAATTTGCTTGCTCACTACCAGATTCCATACAAATGACAAAAACACCGTAAATACTGAGTTGGCACCATTAAGGAGTTTTGAGCCATTAAGAAGACTGAAGCAAAAGGATTATGACTTCAAGGCCAGTCTGGACTACTTAATGAGACGCTATGGAGGGGGGCACTGATTGTAAGTGAAGGCACAGTGGACAGAGATAGACCACTCCATGGTAGAATGAAAGGTTTATTGGGAATCAAACTGACAAGGCTATCATCTCTCAGGTGTTGGGGGAACAGAAGAGCAAAAAATGGGGGAAAGCAAGCAAATTTTATATGTTGACTGGGTTGGGGGAGTATTGAACTGTTGAGGATTGACAGGATTAGATGCCCTTGCCAGAGGTAGTTGATCTTTGGGGCAGGATCAAAAGAGGTTTCTGGTAGTTTAAAGGAGGCTCCTGGTAAACAAACCTAGAGTTCAGGCCCCTGTTTACCCAGTAACAGTCCTGTGTAGGACACGCCACTAACACTGCCATTTATGGGGGGTGGGAGGTCTCCCTTTAGACTTAACATAGCTACCAGGAAATTTTATATTTTGGTTTTGAGCCCAGCCTTTTAATGGCTGACTCATCTCTCCAGCCCACTACCAGGAAATTTTAAATTGCTTATGTTGCTGTCATCAATTCAAAATTATAAATGGAAACTTTAATGAAAAACGTTGAAGTTACACTATTGGGTTTTAAAATTAAAACAAAAGGATAGGATATCTGCTGGAATGATAGCTCAGCAGTTAAAAGCACATGTAAGCTGGGCAGAGGTGGTACACACCTTTAATCCCAGGACTAGGGAGGCAAAGGCATGCGGATCTCTGAGTTCTACAGAGTGAGTTCCAGCACAGCCTCCAAAGCTACAAAAAAAAAGAAAAAAGGACTTGTTGCTCTTGCAGGGGACCAAGGTTTGGTTCCCAGCATCTACATGGTGTCTCAACAACCATCCCTAACTCCAGTTGCAGGGGATACAACATCCTTTTCTGAACTCCATGACCATCCAGCATGCACATAGTGCACATATATACATACAAGCAAAAAAAAAAAAACTATTAATCATTTAGGATAACTTAGAGAAAATAATGTAAATTGAGAGCCTTAAATAGACTTAATCGCTGTCCTCAAGGAACTTAGTCTATCCTCAAAGCTGACTCAAGGCAGTAGCAGCCTTTACAATTATATAGGAAGCATTGGCAGTTCAGTACATCTGTCCTGGGTAGTCAAGAGTAGCCTAACTGGAGGAGACAGCTGAGCTGAAAGCTGGCAGTCAACTAGAGAAAATGATGAGAGTGCCGGTAGCCAGCTAGTTAGTAGCTTAGAAAGTTCAAAAGAATATGGAATAAGGCCTACAGCATGGATATGCCGAGGCCTGGGTGAGAGATACAAGCAGTGCAGGGCTGATAGTGTCAACTACAAGATGGAAGACATTTGGAGAGGACAGGAAGTCACCAAGCAATCTGGAGGTTTGTGGGATGAGTGCTTGAGAAATTTTCTTGGTTGACTTTTCTTGAAAGTACAGGAAGTGTAATTAAAATTTGTACCCATTTTTTGGTTAAAAAATGGTCCATTATGTTAATCTTAAAAGCATATAAAAAAATGGAGCTGGGGAGATGGCTCATTGGTTAAGATCTAGTTTTTTAAAAGCTAAGAGCTTGAAATTTGTGCTATCAGTAGTATCCCTAGCTTTCCAGAACAGAGTTGCACACTGTCAGCCATTGAGACAGAACAAGACAGGAGGTTGTGTCATAAATAGGGGTTAGGAAATACCTGAAGCTGACATGTATCTTCTGGGTTTTTTTTTTGGGGGGGGGGTTGTTTTTTTCGTTTTGTTTTGGTTTTTGGTTTTTCAAGACAGGGTTTCTCTGTGTAGCTTTGGAGCCTATCCTGGCACTCTGTGTAGACCAGGCTGGCCTCGAACTCACAGAGAGCCGCCTGCCTCTGCCTCTGCTTCCCAAGTGTGTGTGCCACCAACGCCCGGCGTATCTTCTATTTTTATTGGACCAAGCTAATTGAAGAGTTTTTGGGGCTCCTGCCAGAGAAGACCACTCAGACAGCCTAAGAGCCAACTGAAAGTCTTTATTCCAGTTGGCTGGTGACTAAGCCTGGGTATTCTGAACCCAAGTGCAGCCATGAACCTATCCTGGAGTCCATATTTAAGCAAGAAAACCACATCCTGACGGGAAAGTCCCCAAGATTCCTTTCCCACAACTGCAAGCAGATAGTCACAAAAGACAAAATACTCAATTAGCAAAAATAGGGAGATCAGACCGCCTTTGAAGAGCTCTCATCCTTGAGTTTTTCTCTTCCAGGGATTGTTTTTCTTAATTTCCCCTTACAGTTGCAACTTATTCAGCAAGACAAAATGCATCTGAAGTACCAAAATGGAGTTATAGTCAACGTATAACAACACTCACCTTCCTAAGTGAGGGGATTACAGTCCTAGTTTTTCCCTAGAATTGGGATGTTTGTGGATAGCTCTAATAACTACCATAATTATTAAACGCTGTGGGCTGGGAGTTGTCCAGCATACACAAGGGTCTGGGTTAGATCCTGAGCACTACAAGAAACAAAATTTCCAGACTATAGTTGTAGATGTCTTTAATCCCTGCTCTCTGGAGTCTGAGGCAGGCAGATGCCTGAGTTCAAGGCCAGCCTTGTCTATACAGAACCCTATCCCGAGAAAACAGAAAAAAAGGAATTAACTGTTATTGGTCCATAAATGAAATGTCATTGAAAGCCCTTTTGAGGAGACTTTTTTTGTCTTTCAGGCCCACCAATATCTTGCTTTCAAGTTATCACATTATTTTTTTCCAGAAAGATTGGTCTACAATGACAGCTCCTCCAGACCCTGCCCTAACTGACTCTATTCTGCCATCTGAGTTAGAAAATGGGATGTTTATTCTGTTGTTTGTTCTGTTAAGATTTATTTTACATTCGCACCTGCATGCGTGCGTGCGTGCGTGCCTGATACCTGAGAAGGCCTGTGAGGACATCAGATCCCCTGGAACTAAGTGATTGTGAGGTGCCAGGCATGCGTCCCAGGAACCGAAGTTGGGTCATCTCTCCATCCCAGAGTTGACTCCCCATTTTCTTTTTTTTTTTTAAGATTTTATTTATTATGTATACAACATTCTGCTTCCATGTATATCTGCACACCAGAAGAGGGCACCAGATCTCATTACAGATGGTTGTGAGCCACCATGTGGTTGCTGGGAATTGAACTCAGGACCTCTGGAAGAGCAGTCAGTGCTCTTAACCTCTGAGCCATCTCTCCAGCCGGACTCCCCCTTTTCTTACATACAATTTGTAATTCTTGACAATTCCATCATGTAACTTTAAATTACAAAGTATTTTCATGTTGAAAGACTTAAAAATTACCGGCTGCATCTGTTATGCAGATCTGGTGTGCAGATATACATGGAAGCAAAATGTATACATAATAAATAAATAAAATCTTTAAAAAAAAAGACTTAAAAATTAGCAAAGAAATATAGCCCAGATAAGGAAACTCTCCAAACTGAATGTAGGGCAGCCTAACCCAGAAATTAAGGCCACTATTATGACTTAGTGCCAGGAATTTACCAGCTTACAAGGCCATAAGATAACTGGGTACCAAGAATTCCCAGATGCCACCCTCCCTGAGGGGCTCATGGAGGAAACAGATTGCCCTACTGGCCAATGTGTCAATAATTAACAATTAAGGGTCGCTATGAAACAAAGAGATAGCTACCATTTGCTCAGACAAGATAAGCATATCCTGAGGGTCTGCAGGTTTTACAACTGGTGGGTCAGGAGTCCATCTGATTCCCAGGCCTCCCCTCAAGACAAAGGGCCTCCTAGGAACCCATGACTCTGGTCACGTATTCAATGGACAGAGAATGGAGGCCCCTCCCTAAGCTTATGGTTTTTGCCTTTAAAAACGCCTGTGCCTGGGGGACAGCGCTGCTCTCTAGCCTGCATGCTGAGAGAGCCCGTTTGTACAAATGTCTACCTTTCATTAAAACTTCTTGCTGTTTGCATCAAGTTTCCACCTCCTCATGGTGATTGGGGTGGCCGAAGTCCTGGGAAAAGCTTATGGAGGCCTGAGCTTCCGGGTGTGTGGGGGGGGGAGGGGGAGGTCTTACAATGTAACCCAGACACTTAGAAAAGTGCAGCCCCACTAACATCTGTGAGGTAGGTAGGAATGGGAATGGGTTTGTTTTTGTTTTCAGACAGGGTCTCCAGGTAACCTTAGATTTCCTGGAATTCACTATATATAGTCCAGACTGGCCTAGAATTAACTACTTCTGTCAAGAGCTTTTCTGTTATTCAGAACTTCTTTTATTCATGACAGAACTTTAGTGGGTCAAATTTAAATAAGCAAAGATAAAATCCTTTGCTCACGAAAATCACTACACACTACCCCAACTGAGAGTTTACTGGAAGTTGTTTCAGTATTCCTGGTTTTGTGGTTTATTCCAACTTTAAAAATCATTTTCTTTCTTTCTTTCTTTCTTTCTTTCTTTCTTTCTTTTTTTTTTTTTTTTTTTTTTGTTTTGTTTTGTTTTGTTTTTCGAAACAGGGTTTCTCTGTTTAGCTTCAACTCCTTTCCTGGCACTCACTCTGTAGACCAGGCTGGCCTCCAACTCACAGAGATCCCCCTGCCTCTGCCTCCCGAGTGCTGAGGTTAAAGGCATATGCCAACACCTGGTTTAAAAATCCTTTTCACTAAAAACCCTTTTCACTTTGCATTTAGAAGGGTAGGGCTTCTTATCTTTGTCTTGCCTCTCCCAAGACCCCACGCAGCCTATTGCAGGTCAATTCAGATTCTTTCCCCTCACTATAAATAAAACCAACTGTATTTTTTGTTTGTTAATAATTCCCAGTCTGGTTTGAATTAAAGATCAGTTTAGGTGGGGGTGGGGATCCACTTTTTGTTTTTGGAGACTCATCCCCAGTGTCTCAGGCTGGCCTTGAACTCTTGAACTCTCAAGCGTGACCTTGAACTTCCTTATAGCCCAACTGTGGGATTTCTGGCAGGCACAAACACCACACCCAGCCTCTAAACATATCTAACTACACGTGACAGCCTTTATTCATCCTCTTTCCCCACTGGACATCCCAGTGACCCAGTTGTTGTTTTGGCATGCAACGATGCTACTCAAAGACATCCTACTAGTTTTGTTTTGTCTAGTGCCCATAGCAATGACTTCAAATTTTGATGAAACATCCCCTGTATGCTCCAGTGTAGCCAGTTTGAGTATTTAGTCTGTCACTTCCCTGCTAAATACAATCCTTGGGGCACAATAATGGTAATTGAGCTCTGCTTCCTAGGATCAAGAAACCTTGGATAAACTCCCTAAGCCCCATTTATCCCTCTATGAGACTGAAGGTGCAAAGTCTTGTCATCAAAAGTGGCTTCCGCAGCTTTTTAATTTTGGGATGCCCTAGTGCAGACAGGCGGAGAGTTAAGGCTAAACACAGCCAGAGATGCCCCTCTTCACTCAGGGGAAACAGGCACAGAATGCTAAAGGGTTTGGGCAAGACCATAAAGCATTAGCAAGCAGCAAAGCTGGTTTCAGGCGGAGCTGCTGGAGGCAGCCTCTATCCTTAGAACGTATGCCCCAAACTTGAGCACTTGTGGATGAGACCTGGCTTGGAACCCTTCGCCCTTTCACTCAATCCTCTGGCCCCTAGCCCTTACCCAACACTCGCACATCCTCAACTATAAGGTGGACCCCGCTCAGAAACAACTAGGTCCGAGGAGGAGTCCATTTCTGCACAGCTAAAGATTGTTGCAGCCGGCGTCAGTACTATGGCAAGACAGAGATGATTGTGGGATGCCCGCAGGCCGTGAGTCTTTGAGCCTTCCTGTCCTGGCAGGTGTGTAGACGGCAGCTTTATTTTTGTGTGATGTGTTGTGGGCGTTGTCCCTTTCCTTGTGTAGGCACGTATGGGGTGCTATGCATTTTTTTAGGGCCTCGGGAATGTGGCCCTTAGCTTCTAAAGCAGCCGTCCTTCCTGCTCTACTCGGCCGCCGCCTCGCCGGTCAGACCTCCACTACAGAATTCGCGCGTGCGTGACTCCTCCTCAGGCTCCGCCCCCTAGGTTGAGCTCCGCCTCTGCCACGCTTTACGGCCCGGCACGCCACTTTTGCTGCAGTTGCTCCGGTCGCGCCTGCTGCTATTGCTGGTCCTGCCGCGGCTGCTGCCCGGGAGGTGAAGGGAGGTGAAGTGTGTTGTTGTGTCGGTGCTTCTGCCGCTGTCCGGAACGGAGTGGAGAGCCGGACGTCCGCGGGCTGGCGAGAGCGGCGAGTCAGCATCTGCGTGGTCTCCCCAGGCCGGGTCCTGTCTGCGCTGCTGCAGGGAGGCCGCCCGGCCCTGCGAACCGAACCAATGCTGGACCTGGAGGTGGTGCCTGAACGCTCTCTGGGGAACGAGCAATGGGAATTCACGCTGGGTGAGTGGGATCCTTTCAAGACCCTATTCGCTGGCCCCTTCCGCAGCTGGTCTCTGCCCCAGATGCCGCTGCGTCCGCGGCTCTCCGCCTTTTCGTACCCTCTGGTTCCAGGCTTTAAATATCCTCTCTTCCCGTCGGTCATAGGATAGGGCTTCAGCAGGGTCCTCTTAGGAGCTGGTACACCCCAGATACTTGTGAGAAGGTCCTGCGCTTTTGAATTGGTCTCTAGTAACCATCCCTGGGGTCTGAGGATAGATACTGTTGATTGCTATGTCCATTTTGCAGGCTAGTTAATAAATGGGTAGCACCCCTGATCAACCCCCTGGTCTCTGATCTATCTTCCTTTGGTTTTAGAAAGGTGCAGAGGGGTCGGGGGACATGGGTTACCTCTTTTGGAAGGAAAACCTAAGTTCGTATCTCATAATCAAGTGGTGCGGGAAATTGAGCTTGCTTTTGTTAAAGGAACTTCTGACTCGTTCTCTTAACGTGTGATGTCGTAATACTAGATGCCAGAGTGAAAAGTTGAGTGAAGTGGAAATTACACACAGCTTTGTAGACAGTTCAGTTTGTTCACTTTTGGGTTAGTTGGGCCTTTTATGTGAACAAGAATATTTGTATTTAGTAACTCCAGTGTGTTTACTTTATGCCAGCGGTAAGAAATGAGGGGTAGGAAACAGCTGCTGCTGCTTGTTTGTGTGGGCCTGAACCTCTGTCACTCTGGTGTGGGCTCCTAGACTGAGTCAGCTGGTCCATTTGATTATGGCTTATCCTTGAATGTAAAAGATTCAGATCTATAGAAACAGCATATTGGAGAAAACTAGCTGGGTAGATTGCTGCAAAGAACCTGCTGGGGCTCGGTGGCTGCCTACCTCCTGCCGGCTGTAGAAGTCAGTTTTATCAAGGAGTCTTGGCTCTCTTTTCTCAGAATTTAGACTTTCCTGTTTTATAGAGTTAGCAAAATTGAATGTGCTATGAAAATGTTCCATTCAACTGTGAGGCACCAGGAGCTTGAAGAACTAATGGTGTTTGACTTCTAATTAATATCCTTTTCTTCCCTGACAACTCCTACCTAACCTAGACCTTCCTGCACTGGCTAAGAACCACAGCATTCAGACTTCAGATGGTACAATTAGACTGGATCTCTTTGTTTGATTTAGTGAATATAGGAGATTGGTTGGGGTAAGGACATTTCCAGAACACTGAGCTATATTAACTAACTACCAAGGGACTCCTGGTAAATGTTTGACAATCAAACCCTAAGCTGCCAGTTTTCAGGAACCAAGGATTTGAGTAGTTCTTTCAAACTGTCTGCAGTAGCCAAAAATAATAGTACACTGGGTTCAGAGTTGAACTTTGGGGGGAAACTCAGGAAGGATCTGAACCTTTGTGATTACTTGTAAACATTCTCATTGTTGTTGTTTTTGTTTTTAAGTTGGGTTTAATTTGCTTGTTTGTGTTTTAGACAGGTCCTAGCCCAGACTGGCCTCAAACTCCCTATGTAGCTGAAGTTGATTTTGACCTATAATATTTCTGCCAAATGGGTTTATGTAGTACTAGAGATCAAACAAGAGTGTGCCACCATATCCATCTAAAGTCTGGTTTGGGGGGTTGTTTGTTTTTGTTTTATTTCATGTGCATTGTTTTGCCTGCATGTTTGTCTGTGAGTGTATAGAATCCTCTGGAATTGGAGTTACAAGCAGTTGTAAATTGCCCGGTGGGTGCTGTGAATTGAACCAGGGCCCCCTGAAAGAACAGCTAATGCTCTTTAACCACTGAGGCATCTCTCCAGCTCCCAAGTCTGTGTTTGTTATTTTAAATTTATTTAGGAGGGAAGTACCAGAGTTTGATTTTACACACACACACACACACACTCTCCATTTCTGGCTTCAGCAGGCAAACATCCATACACATTTAAAAAAAAAATGTATGGAGGAGGAACTCGTGTGTGTGTGTGTGTGTGTGTGTGTGTGTGTGTGT